AATATAAGTCAACCAAAGGTAGTGGGTTCCTRTAACTATTTCAATGGCGATGTGGACAAACACAACTGGTTTCCAAATAGTCCACTTCTATTAGAGGTAAAACACTGTACTGGTCTTTGTGCAGTCAAATAATTGGTATGTTCATCGAAAATGTAAGAATTATTCAAGATGTGTGAACAAAGACAAGAGCGATCTCAAAGAGAGACATCTGCTTACCTTAAGCAAGGTAGGGAGAAACCATCAAGAGGAATTAAAGGTCATATTCCCAGACCTATTACTGTCCCAGATGTCAGATTTGACATGAGAAGCATTATTCTCAAGTAGCAACAACAATGACAATGTCAAAATAAGCCATGTTGTGCAAAACCAACATTATAAAAATGTACTGTAATCCTCTGAAGTGTTTTGCTTCCTTCCACATCATGAACGGGGCACTTCTTTGTATATTGTGTAATGTATGAAATATTTGCCCAATGTCCTATTTACAGGATAGCGCGCGCGCGCGCGCGTGTGTGTGTGTGTGTGTGTGTGTGTGTATGCTATCTTATAAATATGTACACACACACACACACACTATATTGTCCCAGTGTCATTTATAGGACAATCTGCATTATTGTTCTTAATAATAAAGAATAAACTCTAGATTATGATTTCCAACTATGTGCCAATTTACACCTGCATCAATTTTGTTAAACATAGTCCCCAAAATTTAGGATTTACTGAGTTAACAGCATGGAGAGAGAACCTACAGACTAGGGGAAAAAAATCTATTAGCTACTCTTCTGATAGAGAMCTAATATCCAGAATATATAAAGAACTCATCTCCCCCCAAGAAAAAACACCCCAATCAATAAATTGGTAAACGAACTAAACACAAAGTGTTCAATATCTTTAGCAGTTAGGGAAATGCAAATCAAAACTACACAGATTTTTGTCTTACTCTAGTAACAATGGCAATAATTAAGAGTACAAATAGTAATGTCAGCAAGGATGTTGTGAAATGGAACACTTATACACTGTTGGTGGGATTGTAAATTAGTACAACCACTATGGAACTCGGTATGGAGGTTCCTCAAGACCGCGACTACCAAATGATCCAGCTCTACTACTCCTTGCTATTTACTCAAAGGAATTAACRTCAGCACACTGTAGAGATAGATGTATGCCCATGTTTATGGCAGCACAATTTACAATAGCTAAGTTATGGAACCAGGCGAGGTATCTGTCTATTGAATGGGTAAAAATGTGGTATATATACACAATACAGTTTTGTTCAGCCATGAAGAAGAAATTATGTCATCTGCAGGAAAATGAATGAGTATCACATTAAGAGAAATAAACCAGGATTGGATGCTTTCTCTGATATRTGGAAGCTCTAGAACAAAAAAGAAAGGAATCACCCAAAAATACATAGACAGGAGAACAAGAGGGGAGAGGGAGGAGTGGAGGTTAAGGGAAGGTAATGAAACTGCTCACTTATGTCATATGCATGTGTGAATATGCCACAATGAATCCCACTATTCTGTATAATTATTATGTACCAATAAAAAAGTTCTTAAAAATAAAAAAACAATGAATAAAATAATATTTTCTTGACTTTACTTTCTTTTCCAGCTACTGTCCCATCTTCTTTCTTCCTTTAAAATAAAATCCCTCAAAATTATTATTAATGCTCACTCATTAAAATTTCTTTCTTCCCAAATGTTCCCAAATCCACTCTTAGGTTTTCACTTCCACCATCCATATTATCAAGATCACCAAGACTTTCCAGTTGCCAAGTTAGTGGTCTCTTGTCAGAACTCATCTTTCCTGCCATAGGAACGTAGTGCAACTGTGGACTTTTGAGGCCATAGGGCTGGTGGGGGCTGGGGGGGACAAAACACAGAAGGATTATAGAAGAGAATCATTGACTTGTGTTGAKTATGATTACATTATGTTTTGTCTATCAGAAACGGACATTGAAGAATTTATGTCACTGAAGTGTGAAATGAATGCATGGGAATTCAGTCTACTATCTCCTCAATTATGGTATATACTTGGAATTTTCCACAATATTTTTATTTTTAGTAGGAGCTACTGACCAGGATCAGGGTCCTGGCAAACATCTTTAGGCTCTGCAACCACCTAAAGAAATCCTGTTGGTGATGATATATACCCTGCCTTGTAGAAAGCCCCTGTGAGGGTAAACTACTGAAGGAAAGCCAAGTATTTGTTCCATTTTTCTAATGCACACTGGTAATCATACCAACATATAAAATTTGAAAAAGACTCATGTATCTCATATTAACCTAGTTTCTTGTTAAAAGAAACATTTTCACAAACTCAGGGCTAAAGGATCCTTAATAAATCCTTTAATTCAGCTCATCGTTGTACAATCCCTATGTAACAAATATTTACAAAGTACCTACTGTGTGCCACATATAATGCTAAACAACAGATCCCTACCCACATTACAGTTACAAATTAGTGGACTAACTAAGCCATCAGGCCTCTTGAAATCCTTTCTGAATAGGACAAATTAATGGTGAAAAATACCCATGCAGTGTTCTGCTGGCATATATATATATATATATGATCACATTTAATCCTTTAACAGTCCTGGGGGAGGCAGTAGTTATATTGCCCGTTTACCTRTAGTTACAAGTATGTAATTTTAAATGAAGCATAATGCAGTTCAGTGACTTGCTCAAGATCCTCTACCTAGCAGGTAGAATAGTTGATATTTGAACTTGGACAGCCTGGCCCAAAGGCTCTCTCTAGTCTATACTCTTCAGTCACCACACTATAAATTCCAAGCCACCCTGACTGTAGTCTGCTCATTTGGAGTACCAAAGACAAGTGGACTAGCCTGGCAGGTAAGGGCAACAGGACATTCTTGGCCAACAGAGCAGAAAACGATATTCAGCACTGAGCGCTGGAASGACAGAGACGAAAGGAATAACACTGCAGGCAAACAAAGGTCAAGACTTGGCCTGTCTCAGCAGCTCACAGATGGTGACAGTGAATCCACAGCAGGGTGGCAGGCAGAGCTGGGATCTCCAGGAGAGCTGGCCCTTGCTCTCTGACAACAGCAGGCACACAGCATGGTGCTGGCTGGACAGAGGCAGGGAGCAAAACCCCCCATGCTCTTATTCCCTGCTGCACAGAGGATGCTCAGCCTGCACCTCCACTCCTGATACAGAGGCCTGGGAGGGCTCTTTCTCTTGTACCTTTGGGGTCTCTCCCCTGCCAGCTACCTTCACCAGTTGGCAGAACTCCATCCCCCAACCAACCCCTGGAGACCTCACACACCTGAGTGTCATCATGCTGTGCTCCTATGCCTCTTGAGTACTCAGCTCTCAAACCCAGCCTTCAAGCAGGACACTTTGGAAACAACTGATAAGTCAGGGCTCCCTGTGGCAGTCCAGAGCTTCTCACACTCCCCTCACCTCTGAGASGCAGAGGACTTTGGACTTTGATATGCCCATCAGGCCAAAAGCCCTTCTCTTCTTCCCAATGAATTCAAATCTGGGATCAAATACAGTCATGAGGCACATGATGACATTTTGGTGAACAATGAGTCACCCTGCACTTTCACCATATAACGATGGATGCCATAGCCATCTTAGTTTGTGAAGTATCATCCTGATGGCCACATAATGATGAAATTACCTAACACCACACTTCTCAGAACAAACCCCAGTCACTAAGCAGCACCTAACTGAAATTGACAAATAATCTCTGCTTGAAACCGATGAAACTCAAAATAGCACAGAGGCTACRGTGGTGATGCCAGCCCTCTTCAGGGGCCATCAATTATGTGTTCAAGCCCTGCAGTCTCTGGGAGGCCTGCAGCAACAAAGAAAGGTCAACTTGTCTTTTCTCATCAGCTCAAGAACAAAATCTCAAATGGGCTTTCTGAGTCTCTAGCACTGGTCTGTCCTCCTTCCCGGGCACCCTGTAGTGCTCTCCAAGTTGACAGCCTTGGGCCCAGGACAGCCTGTCACAAAAAGAATGCCAGCCCTCAGGCAGCCTAAGGACTTCTTTTGGGTTTTTAAAAATCTAAAAAAAAAAAAAAAAAAAAAAGAATACAGTCTGCTTTTTAGCAGTTTCAACACAGCAGACTTGAGATAAAGCTGTACCCATTCTTTCCATCTACTCTAGGAACTGCCCCAATCCCAGATTTAGTAAGAAATTAAAATATCATTGCTTTCTCTCTCAACTATCCAACCAGTATATGTTCTATACTAGCTGGTGCCAGATACAACCCTGAAAAAGCAAGGAAATAAAGAGCAGAGGAGCAGAACTTGTAAGTGGCTCCATCCCCCATCCAATCCTAGGCATATTCCCACAGCCAGCCAACCACTAAAGGCAGATTGAACATGAAACACAGCAGTCCCAATCACACCTTTGTCCCAATCAAGCCACCTCCTACAGCAGTAAGGCAGAGAGCCAAGACAGCAAGTGCTTTACTAGGGAAAAACCAACAACTGGTCATGATATATAGGATATTGGCAAATATGTGAGATGTTCCACGCCCTAAAGCAGTTTTCCTCACAATTTTCCATTTCTAAACTAAGTTCTGATGTTCAAATAAGGCTGTAGGCCATGGGTAAAGTTAACATAGGCATTACAAATAAATTTTCAAAGTAAATTATTAAGAATGTATTTAAAATTCTAAGTTCATTGAATATAGAATATATGGATTGCTGACAATTTAAAGTTAGTCTACAATTCACAAAAAAACCCCACAATTTCTTAATTAAATTTAAGTACACATGACTTTTCCCCTACATGCAAAAGAAAATGTATACTGATCAATTTGTGGTATATCATGAGATAATAATTATTAATAAAAGATTAGTCAAAAATAATTTGATCAAAGAAGTCTTTGTAAGAAATTTAAGTCTGTTAGCCAGTTTTTCTTTTACTCTCCAGCTCGTCACTTAGTTCAAAATTGAGGTAACTCAAGTAAAGGTAAATTCATCTTGCCACAAAAGATATGAAATAATCTCTCTTACTCTCTGGAATGTATCTTGCTTCTTTCTCTTTTGTACCTTTGCCGGCTCCCTACCACCATTTCTCAAAGCAAATGTGTTCTTTGGGAACATGGTTGTTTTCCAGTTGCTTGGAGAAAAAGTCTGTCATTGGAGGTGGGCCACAAATATAGAACAAAGTCTCTTTTGAAATATGGTCTTTTATCTCCTCCTCTGTTATTCTTCCTTCTACCAAAAAACAGAATAAACACCAAATTAAGCCAGACATTATTTTTATTCTGAAATGAGGACAGACCAACCACAACTCAGCAAAGTGTTTATTTAATGTAACTCAAGCTCAGTGCATCTCCAGGCTTCTTAAACCTAGGGGAGGCTAGTCACAGCACATTGCAAAGAAGGCCAATTAGTTTACTGGTCTTTGGTTGAGATGCAAAGCTRTCTTCAGCAAGTAAATTAAAACTTTTATCAAAATCCTTCCAAACAGGGGAGACAAGTAATTTAAATGACCATTAATAGCAAATGGAATCCATTCAGCCAAGGATGGAATATAACTTTTTTCATGAACAGTATAGTGATGATGCAAAGGCTTCTTAAAAAATGTGAAAAATAAAATTTTAACATGGGTAATAGGAAGCCTGTATATAAGTAAATCCAACTAAGTATTTTCTTATTTTTTCCATGATGAATCATCTCTCAATTCTCCTGGTAGTGACATTCCCACCCAGCAATTCCCAACAATAAAGCATCTACGCCCAACCAATGGCAGCCACGTCCACCAAAAAACTGCATGGAGACAGTCAAAATATCTTCAGGGCACTCACCCGTGATATATGGCTTAAGTTCTGCACTGATTTGTGTAGTCTGTTTTGTAACATGCAAACTGCATGCAATCTTCTCAGGAAATTCATTTACTAAATCGAGGATATTTTTCTGGAATAGCAAACATATTTGGTCACACTACAATTTTTAAAAAATCAAAGCAGATGGGCCCAACCACTGATGCCGAACCACAACTCCCATTCTACACACGTCTGTCGCTCTTGCTCTACTTAGAGAGATATTGTTTGCAGTCTAGCAGGCCAGAGCATTCAGAGTATAGAGGGCTATTTGGCTTTAATTGAAATCTGAATATGCTAACAACCATATTACCAACTCTCCGGGARTTTTTTCTTTTTCCTTTTTCTCAAGCATTGGCAATTAAGCAGCAGTTTCACTGACCACAGTTGTGTCTTTTAACTGTTTCTGTTCTTTTGTTCACTTCTGCAGCTGCTAAGCACTCGTGAGTGAAAGCCTTCTCCATGGAATGTACTTAGTTTCAACAGATGCAATTGATGGGGTTTCATTTACCCAGCTGGGTTCAAACAATCTAGGTCTCACCTACTCCCGTGACATGAGCCCACCTGTCGATCTCTCAACTCTTCTGGACTCATGGTACCATGTGACTTTCCTGTCACCTAACCTCTAGATTCCATCCCACCAACCCCCCACCCTATCCTGTTCCTTAACTAAAAGCTTCCTCAACACCGACAGTTTCAATTATCCTGGGTAAGATGTGTTAATTTTCATTTGATCATGTTTAAGCCTTGCAAAGTCTTTTGTTTGAACCTTTGCAGAAAAATTAGAACCTAGAGAAGAAATGTTTGTGGACATTTAGTACCACTACACAAGTTTGCTTATAGCAAATGATGAAACATACATCTCCCCCTGCCCTTACCTTAAACAGGAGTTCGCCGGTGTTCTTTGCACTGTAGAATAGTTTTATTGTACCTATCTCATATCCACTTCCTTTGTTTGCCCGATCACGGTGGAGATCTGCTGAGTACCGCAGGATGGAAAGCAGGGGGTTAATTCCAACTCCTCCTGCAATCAACACGAGGTTTCTAGGGGCATCTGTGGGCTGAGGGTCAAAGAAGAACTCTCCACCCACTCTCACAGCCACTTCAGAGTCAAGTGTACACTAGGGCAGAAAAGAGAAAGATCCTTTAGTCCTTTATGGTACCAGTCTTAAAAAAATTCTACTTTAATAAAACCCACTGAGTCTACCTTCTGCATTCTTATCACTATTTAGGACTATGTTTAAAATAGCTTGCTCTCAGTTGTCCCAGGACTCTGTGAATTACTTCTTCTTGTCCATGATGCAGGCCATTTGCTGCCCAGCCTTCATGATTCAAACTGCACATTCACTCCAGAMCTGAGAAAAGCAGCCTTGCTTCAGTGATTCTGCCATTTGTTAACTTCTCAGGTGAAAAAGTAAGTTGAAAAAAGTGGTAATRAACTCCAGCAGGGGAGAGCTCTGGAGTATGGGTCTCCTTTTATCTGTAAGTGGTATTCCTTTGTTCTGTTCAAGGCTGAGAGAGGCCTGATGGAACAAGGGTCATGATGCGGGCTGCTCTGGGCTCATCAGAGTTGACAAGCATATACTGGAGTCTCCCTCCTGATCTCAGGCAGGGTACAGCCAGATCGGCTGTGCAAGCTTAGACCAGCACTGCAGTACTGTTCAACACTGTTTCACTTCTCTCCAGAGCATCCAAAACAGGCAGCCAGAAGGCACACCAGGAGTAAGTCTCACATACACCCAACCCAGGTAAAGCACTTACTACTTGGTGAGGTCACTTATACCAGAAATGTCACCAGAGATTAACATTGGTTTTCAAAGGGGCAGTACTGCCCTTGATGGGGTGTTTTGGAAACTTGTGACTTTTTGTTGTCACAATGATTTAGGGAACCCAACCAGCATTTAAGGGGGAAAGGCTAGAGATGCTAGATATCCCACAARATTACTGAAGTCCCAGAGCTAGTACCTATTAAACTGATGGTTAAATCTGCAGGAATTTTATGAGCCAGTAGGTAGTATAAAATCAGTCATTGGCGTATTTACAGCACAGAAATCCCCAAATAATACAAATCAGGGCTATTTTATTTAGGAGTTGACTGACCACCATACCATTATCTGCAACACACAGGACTGTCCTGACAATGACTTCTAAATGGCCCATAGTTACATAGATAGATGAAGTGGTTTGTAATGGTCTTAGACTAGACTTTAACTCATTACAAAAAAGTCTTTGAGTTTATTTGTAATAGATTTTATTTGGTATGAATTTTCCAGAATGTAACCACTAAGTACATTGTACCTGGTGTGTTCAGAACCTTATCAAACGTATTCACTGTGTTGGAAAACCACATGCATTGGTGGTGACATGTGTTCTTTTGTCACACACACACACAACACTCCTGTTATCACCATTTGTAGACTGGGTATTCTTGGTGTTCTATGTTTAGAAACAATCATTGAAGCACTCCATTCTATATCTAGTTCAGATATGCCCAAGCATTTATATAATGAAATACATAGTCTTTGATCATTTTTCTTTACTTCTCCTTTGTAAGTACATTTTTAAAATGTATGTTTGTCTCAATTATGAATTTCATTTCGTAATAGTTCTATAAATCTGACAGTTCTATTGAATCTGACAGGGTTGAGAATCCCTCATTTTGGAGAAAAACACTGACCTGAGTCAAAAGAATGAATTTTAATACAGCTCAATAAAATCCAGCAAGTCCTTTAACTTCTGAGCCTTTGCTACACCTGCCCTGTCCACTTCCAGGCTGTTGTGGGCATGAAATGACTCACAGTAGGGGTAACTCCCTGCTGGTATCTGGCTCTATGAAAGAAAGTGTTTTCATTATTATGGCTGTCACAGAGAACAGGTGGTGGGTGAGCCTGATTCCTTCTTCCACTACTAAAAAACAGAAGCCAGGAATAAAGAAATCTGTATTGAGAGCATAGGTTTGTCCCATTACATGTTCTTGGTAAGTGAACTCTCTCCTTAAGTAATTACACACTCAACTTTTGAGAACCAAATCTTTGGCATTCATACCTTGGCATCTCACAAGGCAGGTGAATAGTAAGTACTTTTGGACAGGAATTTAACTTGAGGCTCTTAAAAATGAGTTAAACTTAGAGAAAAAATATAAGAAGAATGAAAATTATTTTAATTCATAAAATAGGTCATTTTTGTAAAGAACTGTTAAATGAATGAAAATCTCTGGGGAGGGGAATGTCTTAATTTAACTATTTTAAATAGGCAGGAAATTGTTACATGAGTGAGTTTTCATTTTGACAAAAGAAATTAGCAGCAAGGGAGCACTGGTTAGGAATAACAATCTAGGAATGGTTGTACTGGCTACCAAAGTAAAATGCTCCTTCAAGTCTTGAAAATAGAACCTAAAATACAAGAAACTCTGCCTTATGATGACAATGGATTTCATGTTCCTACAACCTCCATCTCTCTCTTACCTTCCCATACACATCTCTATAAGAATTTGGGAGACACTGTTTTTTTTTTTTTTTTTTTCCCCAATGGCCATCTTCAAGGTGTTTAGCAGTGACAACAAAGAAAGCTGTTAGCTCATTGTTTTTAGAAACTAATGTATGTTCAACCTCAGAATGGCCAAGAAAATATACCCCAGGGAAGGATAATACCAAAGAAACCTGTTTTTTTTTTTTTAGTGACAAAAATAATATTCAATAGATCTATCTTCTAATTTGCTACCATCTGGAAAGAATCAAAAGCCATCTTTGTCTTTTCCTGATCAATAAAAACTGCCAGGACAGCAAGAACACAAGACTCAAKACACCGTATAGCATAACATGTAATTAAAAGAAAGTTACCTTCAATTACTTAGAAATGTATCAAATTTTAGTATCGATTTTTACTTGTGAAATAAAAAAACCTTTCCACAGTAACTGCAGCCCAGTACACAATAGCTATCCAGAACCCCTTACCCTGCCAAGAGCTTGAGCCAAAGCCAATGAAATAAAGGAAGACATTTATGGCACTTTATCCATGTCTCAACAGACCAGCTTGCTGCCACCCAGACACTCACGTGCCTCCATTGTCCACTCTTAATAGCTTAATAAGACAAAATCCTCAGGAGGAAAATAGCCACCTGAAAATGGTTCCAAAGAAAATCTGACTTCATAAAGGCTGTTTGCAACTCCCACTGGGCAGAGAACAGGCACCACAATTAGGAGGTGCACTCAGGCAATGCCACTTTGAAATTTTCTACAGCCTCTAAGAATAAGTTCCCTCATTGAAATGCCAATGAGGCATGAAACCTAGCAGAGAGCTGTGGACCAGCACCAGGTCAGGTCACATGGGCACCAAGAGCAACCGCAGGGCAGAGTGTGTGYGTGTATTGAGTGAGTACATATTCACAGGTTCAGAGCATTAGGAACCAGAATGGCAATGCTCACTTGGAATCTGACAAGAGGCATGTGGACCTCTTGTTGCTCTCATCCCAATGGCATATTTTAGAGACTCCGAGCAGTTGATAGGCAGTAATGGGTTGAAAAATCTACAGATAATTCTAAAAAAGGAATGAGGCAGCTAAGGCCATACCAAAGGGGACTCAGAAGATGAAAGGATAAAAATGTGACAGGATATATTTACAGTAGAAATGCCAAGGCAAGAAAGCACCTGCGGACCGTCCTGAACAAATACAATGGACATGTAGGATATTAATATCCTTCTACATCTTTATATCCTTTCCAGTGAAGTGTCTATCCAATCTTTTGCCCATTTCAAAAAATTATTGTTTCCCGTTTTCTTTGTTGATTTTTGAGAGTTCTTTTTATACTCTGGGTACAAGTCCTTTGTTGGGTATCTGATTTGCAAATATTTTCTCCCAGTCTATATGTAGGTTATTTTTTAAATTCTGTCAAGTCTTTTGCAAGAAAAGTTTCAATTTTGATTAAGTCCTATATATTATTTTCTTTTATGAATCTTGCTTTCAGTGTCATGTCTTAAGACTTCTGCCTGTCCTCAAGTTCCCAGTATTTTCTGTTTCTTCTAGAACTTTCATAAGATCATGTTTTACATTTAGATCAACAACTAACTTTGAGTTAATTTTAAATTTCAAGTATAAGGTTTAGGTCAAACTTCTTGCTTTGTATATAGATGTAAAATTATTCCAGCACTATTTGTTTAAAAGGTATCCTTTCTCCACTGTTTCTTTAGCACTTTTGTCAAACAAATGGTCRTATTTCTGATCTGTGTCTATCTTTTTACCAGTATCACACTATTTTGATTACTGTTGCTTTATTTTAATCTTAAATTTGAGTAATGTGATTTCTATTTCTTATGCTCCTTTTCCCAAACTGTTTAAGCTATTCTTTTTACATTCCATATATATTTYAAGATCATTTGTTTATATCTACAAGAACTCCTGTTAAGATTTTGACTAAAATGTGGCTCCTACATAAACACAATTCTCTAAAACCTTTAAAAAAATATACTGGAGTATGTTCCAGGTTCTGCTGAAAATAAGGTTTACAGTTTTGTTTTCTGTTTTCCATTGTTGATGCTCAATGATTTCCATGAAAATAAAGGGACAGTACAGATTTTTTGAAGCCATATTTGTATCATACATTTCTTTTAGGTAAAGGAGATTTTTTTTTAAATGCCCAGAATGGGATGGAGGTTATTGGTAAATATAGAAGGCACACTCTAATCAAGAAGAGGATGGCAATGATGGAAACATGGGCCAAAAATTAAGTAACTGACCTATTCTGAGTTCWGACTTTGCTATCAGAGTTCAAGTAATGACAGGCAGCTTACATAGGACTTGTATTGAGCCCTGTGGTAAAGTATGTGTTTAAGTATGCAGTTAAATTTGGATTGCCTCTCAGAACCCTGTGAAGAGCTCTCAAGGGGTTAAAAATGGAGAGCACCATGGATTTGTGCTCATCTCTAGGCACCACGGTATTATGTAATCAGAGGTAGAGGACAAAATTATAATTTAATTTCCTTTATTTAGGATAATTATAGTAAAACAATCTGCTTTACAGATTTACCATTTACACAACAAACGATCAATTATCAAAAACAAAATATTTTAAATCTACAATAGTATTCCACCAAATATTGTTTGGTAAAAACAAATTATCTCCAAATCCCAGGCCTTCTGAGTCATACTTATCTTTACCTTTTCTAGGAAACTATGTGTGAACATGTACCCTTTATATACAACATTAGGGTTTTTAGGTAGATCAAGTGAGCTGAACCCAAATTTGTGGAAGCCAGAGATGCCCACATCTCCAATTTTTAAAAAAGCAGTTGCTTACCTTATTGTGAATCCAAAGAGCAGGCGGGTGGTTTGTATATTTCACTGCCAATTCTATCATTCTCTCTTGCTCTAGCAGTCTGGGACTGGAGCATATTGAAAACCCACCAACTACAGAGACTCCTGGAATAAAGAAATCAATCCTAAAAGAAAAGGCAGATAAATGATTACTGTTGAAGCAATTTTAAAAAACAGTCAAACAAAATAAATGAAATCGACAAAACTTTAGTTAACTTGACCAAAGAAGAAAAAAGATAAACTACTAAAATTAACAATAAAAAGAGTGGCTGTTATCAATCTTACAAAAATAAAAAGGAACATAAAGAAACTATATAAACAACTGTATATCAAAGATAGTTAACTTAGATGAAAAACTCATATTCCTAAATAGACACAACTACCAAATATATATCAAGAAAAACAGAAAACCCAAACAGATCCATAAGAGGTCAAAGGACTAAATCAGTCATTTTAAAACTTCCACAAAGAAAAGATGAGGTCCAGATGACATTACTGGTGAATTCCAAACAYTTAAAGAATACTAACCTTTCACAAACTCTTCCAAAAATAGAATACTTTCCAATACATTTTATGAAGCTACTAGTATTACCCTGATGYTAATCAAAAATACTGCAATAAAACTACAGACCAATATCCCTTCTGAATAAAGAAACCAAACAAAAAAACAAAAAAAAAACTTTTTTTTTTTTAAATCCCATGAATACAAGGTTGATTTAATTTTTGAAAACAATCAATGCAATACTACTTAGTAGAATAAGGTACAAACCCCACATGATTATCTTACTAGATACAGGAAAGGCATGTGATAAAATGCAACATTCTTTCACAATAAAAACACTCAAGATACCAGGAATAAATGAGACTTCCTCAAACTTAAAAAGGGCACCTACAAAACACCCATGGCTAACCTCATATTTAATTATGAAAGGCTGAAAATTTCCTCTCTATAGGAACGAAACAAGGATATTTACTCCTACCATTTCTACTCAATACTGCACTAGAGGTTCTAGCCAAAGTAAGCAAGAGAAGAAAATATGAGACATTCAGATTGGAGAGGAGGAATTACAGAGGGTGTCATCTCATACATAGAAAACCCAAAAGAATTCACTAAAAAGATATAATTATTAAACAACTACAAATTAGGTTGCAGTATTTCAGTATACAAAAAAAACATATTTCCATACACTAGCAGTGAACTATCCAAATGTGAAATATATTTAAAAAATCCATTTGTTATAGCATTTAAAAACAAAATTGGTAATAAATTTAACAAAGACTTGAAAACTATAAAATGTTGAAAAAATTAAAGATTTAAATAAATGGAAAGCTATTCCATGTTCATRGATTAGAAGATTTAATATTGCTAAGATGGCAATAYATCTCAAATTTATCTACAGATTCAATGCAATAACCTTACCAAGCCCCCACCTGGTTTCTTTGCTGAAACTGACAATTTTAAAAAATTCAAATGGAAATTCAAGAACCCAGAATCATTAAAACAATCCTGGAAAAGGATAAATTTAAATGACTCAGACCTCATGATTTTAAAAGTTACCACAAAGTTAGAGTAATGAAGACATGGTGGTACTGGTTGGTGTAACCAGTGCCAGATATGAAGATCAATAGAAAAGAATTAAGAATCCAGAAATAAACCCTTAAATTTATGGTTTGGTTGGTTTTTTGTTTGTTTGTTTTTTGGGGTACTAGGGACTGAACTCAAGGGCATTCAATCACTRAGCCACATTCCCAGCCCTATTTTGTACTTTATTTAGAGACAGGGTCTCACTGAGTTGCCTAGTGCCTCACTCTTGCTGAGGCTGGCTTTGAACTTTCGATCCTCCTGCCTCAGCCTCCCAAGCTGCTGGGATTATAGGCATGAGCCATTGCACCTGGCCAGTCAATTCATTTTGGACAAAGGTGCCAAGATAAATCAATGGAAAAAGAATAGTTTATTCAGCAAATGGTACTGGGACAACTGGATATCTATATGCAAAAAATAAAATGATGTAGGGACATCTGTCTCATACACACATAAAAATGGAGCACAGACTTAAATATTTAAGAGCCAAAATCATAAACTCCTAGAAGAAAATCCAAGAGTAGATTTCACAGCATTAGTTTCCTAGATATGACACCAAACCACAAGGGTAAATCCAAATAGAGAAAKTAGACTTCATAAAAGTTAACAACTTTGTGCTACAAATATGATCAAGAAAGTGAAAAGACGAYCCACAGAAWRTGAGAAAAAATTTTAATAATACATCTATTAAGGGATCTGTATTMAAATTATATAAGGAACTCCTCTAACTCAGTAATAAAGAAAACCCAAATTTTAAAATGAGCAAAGGGTTTTAACTAACATTTCTTCAAAAACAATATTAAAAATGCTAGTAAGCACGTGAAATGATGTTAAACATCATTAGTCATTAGGAAAATGTAAATCAAATCCACAATGATCTACCACTTCATATAAAATAAATGGCCATAATCCAAAGGACAGAAAACAGCAAGTTTCAGTGAGAGTTTAGAGAAATCGGAACCCTTATACAATGCTAGTAGGAATGTCAAATGGCATATCCTTTAGGAAACATTTTGGCAGTGTGTGAAAATGTTAAGAGTTACCTTATGGCCTGACAATTTCACTCAGGTTTACACTAAAGGGAAAGGGAAGTATATGTCCATTTAGAAACTTGTACACCAATGCCACAGCAGCATTATCCACAATAGCCACCAAATGGAAACAATCTAAGTGTTGATTAACTGATGAATGGATAAACAAAATATATTCATACAATGAAATGAAGTACTGCTATATGCTACAACATAGTTGAGCCGTGAAATCATGTTAAGTGAAAGAAGCCAGGCAAAGGAGTTACAAAAAGATCACATAATCTGCCAGGCACAGTGGCGCATGCCTCCCATGCCAGCAGCCTGGGAAGCTGAGGCAGGAGGATCACAAGTTCAAAGCCAACCTCAGCAAAAGCAAGGCGCTAAGCAACTCAGTGAGACCCTRTCTCTAAATAAAATACAAAATAGGGCTGGAGACGTGGCTCAGTGGTCAAGTGACCCTGAGTTCAATCCCCAGTACACCCCCCACCAAAAAAAAAAAAAAATGGAATCATAGATTATGTGATATCAGTGTCCRGTGAGACAGAAAGTAGATCCATGGTTATCTAAGGGGGCAGGAATATGGAAAATGAATGGCAATTGGTACTGGGTTTCTTTGTGGGATAATGAAAATGTCCTAAAATTTGATTAGGCTGATAAACAACTGAATATACTAAAACCCAGTGAATTGTACTCTTTACATAAAATTTAATGTATAAAATTCACTTATCTCAAAAAATGCTTTTTAAAGAAGTACAACAAGGAAGGAAGCACAAAAACACTTTTGCTGGTATTTGCCAAACTTAAATAGGCTGACKTGGCTTTGTGTCATGGCTTGTTTCTCCTTTTCTTCTAACCACATCTTACAGCCTAGAACACTTAGAATTATTGGAAGCTCAAAACTCCTATGCCACAGAAACCCTTTTTGGTGCAGATTATAGGAAATGCAACAAATCTTGTAAACAAAGGACAGAAAAATGTATTAGAACCCAGCACCAAGAAAAATTCTCAACCCCATGTCCAGGAAGATTTAACACCCATTCTAGGTATTTCTCTGCCATCAAGAACAGAAAGTATCCCATTTCCATTTGTTTTCTTACACACAGCTTATGTGAAAAGCACAAGAGGCTTTCTATCAGTTTGGTCTATGACCTTAAAATATATTTTACTCTAATCTACAGCCTTAGACATTTGCTCATTTCTGATAGTTTGAAAACAAACAAACAAACAAAAAAAAACAAACCAGCTCTATTCGGGCACAGTGGTGCACGTCTGTAATCCCAGTGGCGCAGGAGGCTGAGGCAGAAGGCTCACAAATTCAAAGCCAGCCTCAGCAACTTAATGAAGCCCTAAGCAACTTGGTGAAACCTTGTCTTTAAAAAATAAAAAAGCAGGGGATGTGGCTTAATGGTAAAGYACTGCTGGGTTCAATCCCCAGTACCCTCCTCCCACCCCATCCCCAAAAAAGGGCTCTAGATTGGAAATGCTCCAGGAAGGGCCATCTCACCTACTTCTACATATTTTCACTTGACTTTTCTCTGTGAATACTTTAACTTCCCTTTCATTTTGGGCAATATAAAAACTATAAACACTATAGTTCCCATTTGTTAATGTGTGCTATATGCTATCCGAGATGAGGTACATAGGGTCTATACTATATCCATATATACAAATAAAAAACAAATAGCTACTTTTGCTGTTTCATCTCCTGAACTACAGCACCCTCTGCTGCTCGATGGTGATAAATTCCTTTTCCTTAGATTACTAAAAAGGATTGAACCCTTTCACCTTTGGAAAGCTACCCTCGGAGAAGAAAACAACTCCTARATTAAAAGGTACAAAAAATTCAAATTATATTAGAAGTCCCATATTAATGTATTTAAGAAAATATGCACAGTACATATTTCATAAAACACCTGTCCATGAAAGAATTAAACTTTAAACACAAACCTTTAAAAACACACCCTTTGTAGGATTAATCACTCTAGGAACATGAGCAGAGGCATCTACTATGTATAAGCAGAACTGAGAAAAGGGATCCAGGTGTGTAGTAAAGCAACACATTTGTGTCCAACTTTGACAATGCAGGCAGTTAAGTCCTATCCACAGAGGTGATCCCAGTGCTCAGCACACAGGGCATGCCAACCATAGTCAAATGATATTTATGAGATCCCAAACTCTAGTCCCCTGCTACAGCACTCAGAGCTCCTCACCCACCTGCCTACCRCAGACAGCACTGCAATGGGAGGTACAGAAACTAAGGGTATCTTGGTTCCTGCCCTCAACAAATTCATTCRAATGGGAAAGAAATCACAAAAATACAAGTAAGTGGGCTTTGATAAAATATTAAGGTAGGGAGACAGATCAGAGAAGGGGTAGTCAATACCACCAGGAGTGAAGGAATTGAGAGAAGAAGCCACTTAAACTGAGTCTTAGAACAAGTCAACAGAGGACAGAGGCTAGATAAAGAGCCAGGGAATGGACTTTCTTTGTGTAGTTGTGTGAAATTCAGCACTGCTGCATCCAGTTGTGTAGTTTGTATGCTGTCAACAACAGTGACCCTACTCAAGGGTGGGGTAGTAGTCCCCAAAGTTGCTTTCTATCAAAGAAATTTATATCAGAACTAAAAGTCTTTTTGCTGCAAATATGCTTTGGCCTTGCTTCCTCTTGGGCATCCTCCTTTAGACAGCCCAGAACGAACTCATCACGGACAGTACCATCAGTAACGTCATTTGGCAGTGTGCACTCATTCACCTTCTGACTTGGCCTGCAGTTCTATAGGCAGAACCAACATCTTCCCTGCAGGAGAACTGGCCAAGTAACTAAGAATTGGAATCTGACCCCCTGGGTTTCACCAGCACAGATAATCTAGCTGACTGGGTGAAATACTAATTATTATGGTTTGAATATAACATGTTGTTCAAAAAGCTCATGTTTGGCAGTGCGGAAATGTTCAGAGGTAGAATGATTAGGAGAGCTATAACCTCAATGGTGAATTAATTCATCTGATGGATTGATAATCTGAATGGATTATTGTGTGGTAACTATAGGCAGACATACTATGGCTAAAAGAGGTGAGATTAACTGGGTGGTAACTATAGGCAGACATACTATGGCTAAAAGAGGTGAGATTAACTGGGTGGTAACTATAGGCAGACATACTATGGCTAAAAGAGGTGAGATTAACTGGGTGGTAACTATAGGCAGACGGGACATTGCTGGAAGAACTGACATTGGGAATGTACCCTTTGAGATTATACCTTGTCCCTGGCTCCTAGAGTGAACAGTCACAGTCTCAGTCACTCTCTCTCTTGCTCTATTTGCTTCCTGCCTTTCATAAACTGAGCAGCTTTCCTCTGCCATGCCTTTCCACCACAACATTCTGCTTCACCTTGAGCCCAGAGCAACGGAGCTGGCTGACCATGGATTGAAACCTTTGAAACAGTTTTTCTTATCAGGTATTTTAGTTATAGTGATGATGAGCTGACTAGCATACTAACAAAAAATACCAAAYTAATGAAGTTAATATTAGCCACTGTGCAAAAACACTTAGTATCCCAAACAGGAATACTATTGCTCCCTATTTAAAGATGTGAAAACCAAACCCCAGAGAAATGTGGAAAAGGCCCACATCAGACCTAGCAGGTAGGTAGTCTTCAATATGAACTGGGCAGTCTCCAGAACATGAGGCCATGATGCCTCCCTCAGGGGATGGATCCCATCCTCAGCAGTGCAGCCATTGAAGAAGRCAGCAAGTGGAACAGGGCAATCAAGATCTTGCATGAGGACTGTTAGTGCCACACTTCAGCCCTGAGAGGGAGTGTCAATCTTTCCACAAATAGGAAAGAACAATGACAAGGTCAAGAGCAGAACTCACCAAGAARGTACTTGCTAATAAGCAAGCTGTCAACCTACTAGTAAGTGGAGTCCAAGAGCTGTAGCCCTGCTCATAGGAAAGATATTTTTGAGATGGTTTCTCCTTTTGGCCTTTCTCTCTGGGTTGACTTGCTAGAACACAGTGCAGTRTAGGAAAAGTCCCCTTAGACTTCTCTCTGCTATGTGCTGAAGAAATCTACATGGGGATGTGTAGCTAGAGCTCAAATTGGTCATGGACAACATTTATTTATTTAAAGTTACTCCTGGAACCTCATTCTGAGAGTTTGGCAGGTGTCAGGAGCTGTCACTCAAAAATTCAGAGACRTGGGACAATGGCCCAATCTCTCATCCCAGAGATAAGCCCAACAGCAATCCTCTCTTCACCTCAAGCAGCTCTCCACTCTGATCACCACTGGCTGGGAGGCAGCCACATCCTAACTCCTCTCACTAATCCTTGCCTTCTCCAAAATGCCACATGGTGGTTACTACTAACCCGTTCATCTAAGAAAACCCTAGAACACAAACCAATCCTAGCAACAGCAAAGAACAGGTGGACAACACCAATCTATGTAAAATGGCCATTGTGTAATCATAAAGTCAAATACCAAAAAGAATTCATAACCCCAGATATATAATAAATCAAYAGTAAGGGTGAAGTCTTTTAAAAGGGGAGGGTTTGAAGGCTAGACCCACAGCTGGGAGGAAAAGGGTCACTGCCAATCAACCAGTGATCACCATCCCCTGTGTGACTTCTGAAGTAAAAGTCTGAGACACACACTAAAACCAGTTCTAATGTCAGTGACCAAATCCATTCATTGGAATGGAATACSGACCCTGAATAATTTTCTCTTTGGAATCACAATGGGACCCCATTTCTATATATATGACTAGGGAATGATGACATTTTTCTTAGAGAACTGCAGTCTRCAAGAGCTAATGCACTTGCAGGCACACCATGGTGGAGCATTATAACCAAGGCTCAGGCTTTTTCTACGCAGGAGACTAGAGTCAGAGTCKTGGAATAATTCAGAGTTGAAGGCATGGAGACAATGCTGTGCACAGGACACAAACACTTCCACAGAAAGGAAATATGGAAAAACAGATCATTACAATTAAAGTTTTCACTTTTCAACGTAATAACTGCTAAACCATTTTTGAAGGGTAAATATGTTGCCCACCCCCAAAACTGCCAAAATGGATTTAATATGTATCACTGAACATGTGCAAAGATTGCAGTAAATTGCTTCACAAACGCAAATTATTGCAATCAGCATCTTGTTTTCTAGTTCTAAATTCAAAGGCAAACTATTAACACAAGACTGCTAACTCTTGCTATTATCACACTTGCTATTATCACACATCCTCCTCCTAACAAAACCACATCTCCAGATGGACTGCCAAAATTAGTCAAGTGACTCCTAAGAAATACTATGGAGATTGACATACCAGAAAACTCATTTAGAAATGAATGCTTTATTTAAATAAAGGACACACACACACCCAAACACACCTTTCCTAGGGAAATACAAGTYGCTTTATTTACAATTCAACTTGAATTGCAGCTCAGTGAGGCCATTCCAAGGAACAGTGGGACAGCTGGCCTGCTAGCTTGTCAGCATACTGATTAGTCCTCAGAGTGGAATGGAACAGACTTAAGATTTGTGTGTGAGCTGGGCCTGACTGGGGAATCCTGTGAGTAAATTAAGCAAAATATTTAAACTTAACCCAGGCAAGGTATGAGTAACACAGGAATTCAGTCAAGAGGATGGTTAGTTCTATGACATAACTGGTTATTCTTTTCAGACTGCTTGGTCAACTCTGTATTAGACATTTAAAAAACACTTTTAGAAATTTACAAATCCCCAGCAACACAAAACTCAAGCAGATTAGATGACTGCAGTGTATTCTATTAGGATGCATTCCTGAGAACATAATACTCAGAGCTGTCAATTCCATGGACTAGAACTAGCTTCTTTGTTTGAAACTGGAAAACTCAAAGCGGTTTCCATTATATGATTGAGAGACAGGGCCACAGGGTCAATACTGAAGTGGGCTCAAGCTAAGAAAAGAATCAGATTCTCCATACTGGAAAAGGCACACCATGAACAGAAATAGCCTAGAATTCCTCTGTGGGAATGGGAACAGCTAGCCACAGAAGTCGAAAAGATAATCCCTTCAATCTGATGACACCTTCTTAAATATACACCCTTGAAAAAAAGAAAAGCCACTTACCACTGGCCAGCTTTAAAGGAAAAGTCTTTATCCGCAACAAGCAAGCGGAGGCTCTTCACTGAAGGCGACTCACTGGCAGCTCCACACACCTTAGCCGCTGCCACCACCTATGGCCAGAGATAAGCTGTGGCTTAGGTTAGCRTGTACACAGCCTAACGGGCAACCAGGGACTTTCTGAGAACTAAGATTTTTTGAAATCTACAAAGACACTGCTTTCAAAAATCATTCAACCAGGTAAAGTATACTTTGCTTTGGGTTTTCTGCCATCAAGTGAATAAATCTTAAATAACTTCTTTTTGAAAGACATATTAATCTTATTCTACCTACCAAAAAAAAAACATCTTTTAGTGTGATTGTTTAACCAGCATTTGTCTAATGAGTATATGTCACATGCCATGCACAAAGAGCACTGGGGATCAGAACCCATAAGCAACCCTGCCTAACCTCTAAATGCTCCATTACAACTGCACAAAATGAGGCCCACTGTTGCTCTGCAATGTGTAGAGTCCATGATGAACTAATTTCAGAAATTAAAGGCAAGCAATAAACACTCTCCCCTTTTCTAAGCAATTTTACAGAGTAACTGTGTGTTAAACCTTAATAGAAAAACTGGGTATATACTCATGTTTTTTTGTTTAGTTCTTCTAATTTATATATTATATTTTACAAAATAAATATTTTAAAATTTTACACATTTTAAGACCTTAAAAACAACAAGTGCAACAGAAAGAGCCCTTCTCTGCAATTAGCTCGAGTTTCTGGTTTCCAGAAAATAGTTAAAACTGACCAGCTCAAGAACTATGCAACCCTCAACTTCAAAATCTCTATTTGCTCATTCTTCATTCCATTTTGAATTTCTTTTTTTTTTCTCTTCCTCCTCTAAACATGCAATATCTTCAAAAGATAAAGAAAGACAATAAGACTCTTTTCTTCAACCTCCTACTTGGGTTCAACTCCACTTGTGGCAGCAAATCAAAGCAGCAGCAGTTGACCAAATGCAATCCCCTCCTTGAAAGGCAACCTTCACAGTTCCATCAAAGGGTGCTCTGGAAAACCATCAAGGTCAATGAACCTCCCAACCTAATTCTAGTTCATTTTGGCCCTTTTCTACAATAGGTCTACCAGGTCTAATCAAACCATCAGTGGGAGATCATTTTAAAAAATCCACTCGACAATTCTCATGTTGGATGGTCATCTCTCTCGCCACCTCTAAATATCTCCTAAAATATCTTCTTTCTTTCTCCTGAAAAATTCCTTGCCTCTTTCTGTATCATTGATGATCCTTTCTTCCTTGTCACTTGGAGACCAAGTCATGGTGATCTGATTTTCCATGACTGCCCCTCTACTAGCACTCACCTCTAAGARCACAACCTAGTCCCACCTACCCCTCTGAAATACTGCTCTATCAGCAAACATCAGTCCTTTCCATCACATTCAATTTCCCTCTCTCTAGTACCTTCTTGTTTCATCAGACATGATATCAAATGCCACTGGCTTGTCCTAAGCATTCAGCAACAAAAGCAGCRGCAGAATATGACTCTTAACAGAAGGAACTCTGTAGTTACACTGCTTGGTATTTAATCCTGGTGCAGCTGTGTGACTCTGAGCAGCTTATAGTAACACCTATGCCTCACAGTGTTACTGTGAGGACTAAATAAGATAATACATGCAAAAGCCCTAATAAGTACTTAATGCAAGGTGGGCAGTGTTAAGTATTCTAATGATAATGTGTGAATATTTGCTTATATTATATATTATGCTTTATTAATATATGTGCCACTGCACATTCCCAAGGGGACCACTCACTTGGATGACAACTGTGCAGTGTGGTGGGCTTGTACCACACTTACATCCTATCAATTATTTTGCAAGTGCAAATTTATACGCCATACTGTCTTTAAGATATTTTAGAAATCTTGTCTTCCATTCCTTCCTCTACTGAGATGATTGGTTCTTCTTCACCCTACAGAAACTCCCCTTTTCCTTGATGTTTCTTAACCACAGGTAATCAGGCTTCTGTTTTCTTGTAACTTCCTCCCAGGTTAGTCAAGGTCTTCCTGCAAAAGCACAATGTTCAGTCTCAGTTCCAACCCTCCCTGATCTCTCTGAATCTAGTACTTTCCATCCTGAAACATGTTCCTTGCCTGGGCTAGATGACAGTGAACTCTTTAGGTCACTCCTGCCTCTCTGACCTGGTCCCCCTCCATTTTTATTTCTACTCCACACTTCAGTGGGAGCCTTCCCTAAAGGGCCTCACTCCTCTCCCTCTCCCACCTCCAGGCTGAGGCCCTCAGCAATCCCCAGGTCCTGCCAAACCCCTGCTGACTTCTCATCACCACTTTTCTGCCAATTCTAGGRTCACATCTATACCCTCCAGGGTAACAATAGTCAATACCTGAGGAACCTTTATCTTGGATATATACCAGATGCTGTTAAATGTTTTATGCACATTCAGTTGATATGAATAATCATACTGCATCTCGAGACAATGTTGTTATCCTTCACCTTACAATGAGAAAACTGAAAGGTTCAATACTTGTTCAAGATCACTTAGCTAGGAACTGCTGAGTCAACATTCAAACCCATGTCAGTTGGCCCTTAATCAACTGGCAGCACTATCCCAACAGTATACCCAAGAACAGAATTAAATTCACCATATTCTTTGCTCAGTTCCAGACACCAGAATCTTGTGCTTAGAATGGGGATGCAGAGATGGAGAAGGTTTCCGCGGCACTCACAGAGCCCTGAAAAACCATACAGGATTTCAATTCTGGATCCCTCTTGGACTTGACATGGTCAAATCTATTTTCAAATGATATACAAACTTTGACTCTAGCATTCTGTCCCTAACACAAATAAGCTTCATGAATTCATTTCACCTTTTCTTTCCCCTGCCCACCCCTTCTGTCATAGCAATTAAAGTGAAAAGAAAGAAGTTATCAGCTATCTTGGCTTCCTTCTTGTGTTTCTCAAAGCAGCCAATTGGTGAATATGGATAAAATTCCAAATCAAGCTATTCCCCAGCTCAAAATTCACAAAGGGGCCGGGGTGTAGCTCAGTGGTACAGCACTTGTCCAGCACAGAAAAAACAAAAACCCAAAAACCTTCAACGGCTCTACCATACAACTAAACAAAAAACTGAAACTAAAAGGCCTAGGAACTCGTAACAGTTTAAGTTCCTTGAGCTCCTCCTTCAAAGGCACCTGACATCTGTCYACCTCCAAAACTCTTCCCGAGTTACTCACAGCATGTTCCATCAAGTCCTATSTACCCCTGCATGTCCTGCACAAATACTCTCCCCTTTCCTGAGGTCTTCCTTTTACACTCYACCTTCTCAATCCTCTCCCTACCAATACAATGTATTGCCTATCTTATTGTATTTAGCACATACTAAATTATAAATACTGACGAACATGTCTTTTCATCACAGATCACCAGCGTCCTGAATTAGGTACCGAATAGAATACATCTCTAAATCACMTCCTTAGATCAAACCCAGGGCCCAACATGTAGTAAGGCTCAGGAAATATCTACAGAATGAAAGAAAATTTAAAAGTCCCTTAAAATTTGTTTCCAAAACAAAGGTTGGAAGAAATTCAGGAGCATTTTGTTGCTTAAAAAGGGGTAGCTGGGCTAGGGATGTAGCTCAGTGGTACAGCACATGTGTTAGGCCCTGGGTTCAATCCCTAGCATGACAAGAAAAATAAAAAGGGTGGCAGGAAGGGGGTCAACACTACAGAGAATCCAGATTCATGTGGAAGAGGGCAAGGTCTGTATCAGAAGAACTGGTATCTTCCTCTGTTTGCTACACATTCTAAGTATCTAATTTCAAAGACAAGTAATGAGAATTATCACAAGTCTCTGTTCCTTCTCTTTTATGTTTATGAAAAAGAAATGTTATTTCAAAGATATTATTTTCTTTCAGTTTAATAATTTGTAAAAACATAGCCAAGAGCTAGATTATTTCATTTCTAACAGCTTAACTGGCATCTGTTGGATTCACAAAATGAGATATGCATAAGCTTTAAACACATCCACAAGAGCCACCTGGTGGCAAGGAAGACTATGTTATCCTGAATGTTAGCTGTGATATGTAAGAATGCTCCACAATAAAATGACAGACTATGTGAAATGAAATCACTAATCATTTCTCAACATCCAAAATTTAATGAAGGTACAAAAACTACACTGATTAAGGAATAGTTTCATTTAGATAGTGTCTAAGACCAAAACTCTTCCCAGATGCATTACAGCCTTTGGTATTAATATGAACAGTGATGTACATATTGCTATTCATCTTAATAATCTGAACAAAACTGTCATGATTGAAATACAAAATGCCTTGCACAATTCATAATCTTAAGACATGTCTCCCTCTCACAACTGTATTTTGTTTAATACAAATATATATATATATATATATATATATATATTATACACACACAAGTATTTCTAAAACTGAGGATTAAAAACATTAATGAAATCTTTTCAAAGGCCACATATTCATTCTGAAGTTAGTTCATACAATTAGGATCTGTAATTGTGGCTCTTATTATACACCACCCTTTTGCTTCTATTGAATAAGTAAAATATAATGGAGAAACTGTTTTAACATTGGTATTTGCTCTTATACTTAATGGATCGAAGGATTTMACAACTAAAACCTCAACTAGCCATGTCCTAAGTTAAAACACATGGCAGGAAATGAAGTTTTCCATAAAATAACATTTAGACTCTTCTACTGTTCAATAAAATAACAACACATTTGCCAACTTTCACTGTTACACATTTTTAATGCTCTGACTGAGTCGGCATCTAAAAGGAAATTCCATCACATTTATTTTTTAAAAGTTGGTTTTATGGAGGATATTTTGATGTTACTGCTCATGCAAAAGTCTCTGTACAGGAAACAGGTCTTTGGAAACCTGATTGCCTTCCCCTGTTCACTCCTGTTTAGCTGTTTTCTAGCTTAAATATTTAGAAACTTAAAACAAAGTTAGAGTTCAGAAAATTTCAGAATTGAGGGAAACTAATTATTGAGAACAGACATTATTTAAATGGTGGCAGAATACCAATCTGATTCATAGGACCCTGATTAAAAGGCAAT